CACACCTGCGGAATAATGCTTTACATAGCGAAATGACAGCCATGCTGGATCTTGGCACCAAACTGCATTCCCTGTCCACCCAACACATCAGGAGACTAACAGACATGGAGACACAGGTGTGAATTCATATCCAAAATGTCCAAAGGCATTCATCATAGCATGCTAATATTGGCCAAGTATATTCTTGGAAAATCATGAATTTACTTAATAAGAAACACCCTTTTGCAGTGTGTTGATGGCTACAGAGACTTATGAAGCTGAAAAGTATGATAATATGACAATAACACAACTAATATGTCATTATATAACAGGTTTTGAATCAGACTTCAAGACTGGAGATTCAGTCACTGGAAAACTCCTTGTCCTCCATCAAACTTGAGAACAAACTGCTCCGGCAAACCAGTGAGATCAACCAACTTCGGGACAAAACAGAGTAGAGTGTCTTTCAATGACACTTTTTTGGCACTTGTCTTGACACATCTTTCACTTACACTTTTTTTTTGTTCTTGTTGTTTTCTGGTAATTCGTGTCCAATTCATGTCTGTGTTCAGCGCCCTAGAGCAGCGTATGCGTAACATGGAGGCACGCCATCGTGCAGAACTGGGTTGGATAAAGAGTGAGTGGACAAAGCTCCAGAGATTCCTGGTATCCCAGAGCTCTTCAATACAGAACCTGGAACTTAATCTAGAGCAGGTCATCACCAACAACAGCGCTCTCTACCGTGAGCAACTACAACTGCATAGTACCATCAATAATCTGCTTAAAATGTGCCCCAAGAACAAAGGTAAACAAATTGTAGATAGAGTTATATATACACATGACAGGGAAAAAATACAAGATGTCATGGATAATCAATTTAGAATTTGTTCCCACAATGTATTAATTCATTCCCTCATTTGTAAGGGAACATTATATTGCACTGCACTGACATTTTTATCAAGTCCCATGATTAATTTCTTAAAATCTCTCTGCATCATTTAGAATTCAAATGTGACTGGCTCACATCAGGGGAGCTGCAGACCATAAATATCCCATTTTGCTGCCAAGTTTTACTTGGATCTGAAACATTGTGTGAAATGTCACAGAGCCTCACACTTCCCACGTCCCACTTCAACCTCCACATACTGATACAGTATATGAGGCTGAGCACTTAGAGCAAGTCACGTTATAGAGATGGATTCATTCACTTAAGCTTTTTAGAATTCAGTTGGTAGCCCAAACACTGTGATTGGAGCAAAGGTCTCATTTTTATATCCACAAAGCTGTAACAACAAGTATTTGGGGGTTAGAATTACTCACAATAGCTTACAAACCATTTTGTTTTTTCTTTCAGTATAAGCAAACACTGAATGCAGTCTTTACTTTTTATATCCATGCTTGTTTGAAGCAGTGAGTCCAAAAGATTTCAAACAAATGGATGAGCAGAGAAAATACAGAGACTGTGCGGAACTCTTCCGGGCTGGATTTAACAGGAGTGGAATTTACACTATCTACATTAGCATGCAAGACATGCATAAGGTCAGTCTAAATGGGATCTGATAACACAGCTACAGGAGTCAGGCGGTGGATGTTTCCCCATGCATAACATTTCTTTCCTTCTAAAGTGAAGTGGGTAATTTTTTAGTTTTAAAATACTTCCTCCTTCCGTAATGTGATGAGACAGCTATAAAAAAAGCATTTTGTTGTTGACTTTTACTTCAGAATCCAACTACTATACTATACTATGATGGCAATGAAAATTGGCGAATTTGTATGATCACATACATATGTTTTGGTATGATCTGCTGATTATTGAAGAGAATTAATATACAGGCACATCAGTGACTCTTGAGTTTAATATTATTTTCAACATGTATAGCATAGATTTAGAATAAAGCATGGGCAACATACTGAATAACGTCATAACAATACACAAAACCCCGAAATGTTATGTTTGCTTTTTCTGGAGTAATCAGCCAAAAGTATATTGGCTACCTCGGGAAAAGTAAGAGCTGGAAATAATCTTGGCTGAACTCTCAGAGTAACAGCTGGGTGAATGCTGCACTCCAGAACTTTGCAGTAGTAATTTCAACTTGCAGTAATTCAACAACTTTAAATGTACTTCCTGATAAAGTAAATCATCAGAATTCATAAGAGTAGCTTTTATTTATTTATTTTTTTGCTTACATTGTAAGTGCACAAACGATAATTTTCCACTCAAGTACAATTGTCCTTAAAACCAACGAGAGTCAATGTAATGGAAAGGGTGACCTCTGGTGGTGAATAAACGGAAGTCCATGGACCGAATTCGTGACAACTATATGCTCAGCTTTTTAAGAACTGTTCTAAATTATGAATAAAACCCTTGAATTTAAGGAGCATAAATGCCATAAGCCTTTGTCTGAATCAACAAATCCTGTTGTATCTCCTCCTACTAGGTTTACTGCAACATGGAAAGTGCTGGTGGGGGCTGGACCGTCATACAGTTGAGGAAAGATGGAACGTTAGACTTCCACAGAACCTGGAAGGAGTATAAGATGGTAAGTCTTATGGAGTGAAACAAATAAGATAATAAATGTCATTGGACCCCAGCTAGGTTTATTAATCTTCTGACTGAAATCTAGTTTGAGCGACGAATGGAGCTCAAGCGTATTTCAGGCAGACCATGGTGTGCCTGCAGTATCAGCTGACGCTCAGCTGATCGTAATTCCTCCCACTACAATTAATAAGATATATAAGCTCATCCATACTCACACTTGCCATAGTCTGTCACACAGACATGCGCTTACCCTCCTCCATCCCCAACTCCTCCTTATGCAAATACATGATCACTAACTGCTTACCCACACCAAAATCATCACAATTAAAAGAACCAAACACTTAAACTACGTCAGTCTGTGTGCATTGTATTTATTTAATACACGAGTTTCACAATTTGAGTTGAATTACTGAAATAAATGAACTTTAGACATTCTAATTTATTGAGATGCACCTGTATCATCTATCCAGTTCATTGCTAAATTTGTCTCAGTGAGGTTTGCCTGTGGATAGCTCAGAATCTGAACCCTTCAGAGCGAAGCCTGTCGCCAAATATAAAGTTCAGGACCTCTACAATAATCTTAGGGTGTATTCACACCTGTCTTGTTTGGTTCGATTGAATCAAACTCAAGTTCGTTTCCCCCCTTGGTGCGGATCCTTTGGGCAGGTGTGAATACATTAGTCGCACTCGGGTGCGCACCAAATAACTGTACCAAGACCTAGCTGAAGAGGTGGTCTCGGTCCGCTTCCAAACGAACTCTGGTACGTTGAATGGATGAACCAATGAATGGATGAACTTAAGCATACGTGTGGTTTTGTTTACGGTTTCTGGTTCACTTACAAAAAGGGCAGTGTGAAAGTGAAGCGCACCAAACAAAAAAAAAATCAACATTGTATTTGGTCCGGACCAAAGCAAGTGAACTAGCGGACTTTCCTGGTGTGAATACACCTTTACTCAAACAGAGTGGTCCTGACTGAAATTACTCAGGACCTGTAATACTGAAAATATTAGGGAACGTCATTTTTGAACAAAGCAATCCAGCAGTGCAGTTCAGCATGTACAAAGGATATTGAAAGGACAACTCACTGGTTTGGTTTGTACTTAGTAGTGCTGATCGAGCCCTGGCATAACTCCCAGAAGTGACTGGCCTGGCACACGGAAAGAGGCACATAGCAGCTGCCATCTTGATTTGGTTCATCTAGAGGATATAATTTGCCTGTAGTATGGACAAGCCAGTTCTCACTATTCTGATCTTGTTATGGGTAATATCTCCACGATACAGTGCAGCTGTCCCAAAACAAATCCTATTAAGTCTTTATGAAAAAAAAAAAAAAGTTATGGAGGCTTTTGTCAAACACCAACTAAATTTATTTATTTTTATTTATTTTATTCTAAGAATTACATTGGGAAAAAACATAGTCCATCACATGACATGTTAGTGAGAGAGAGGGGAAAAAAAACATATTATGGCCATAAATTAAGAATTAGTTCCCAGTGGGCATGATTTAATGAAAACGTACAAAATTCATACAAATTCACCATCAGTTTGCGGAGTAGTGAAATAGAAGATTTTTGTTAATTTCTCCCCTCATTTTAGTTAAATCTTGGCCATAGTTGAACTAAATTAAAATGAGTGAATGAATTAATACAATGGATATTGTTGGACAGGTAGCATTGTACTCACCTGCAATGTTTGGACTAGTAGCTTTTAATAACATATCTGTTGTAAACCTTGCCTGGTCTTCTAAATATGATTTCGATTGTCCATAGTTTTCTGGTTAAATTTTCAAGTAAATTATTTTAAATTGTTTTAAATTCTCACACTAGGCTCTTGGTGGAAGGTTGAACTAGGCAATGTAACAAATAGCTTCCTAATGAAAATGTAAAAATTCAGGATTTTGTGTGCATTAGATTTAGGAAAATATGGTAACACTTTATTATGATAATCCACTTTAGACAGGTCCCACTTTATATTAAGTGGCCCTAATACCTGTGTACTTAACTAGATGTGTATGTTGTATGTAACCACAGTGTAAGTACACATTGGTACATAATATCTAGAGCTGTAACATTTCTGTAACTTCACACATGTAACAACCCTCCGAATGGTTTGTGTAAGTACAAATGTGTAACAGGACATATATAATTACATTTTGTAACAACAATATGAATAAGAGTAATTGGAACAATTTGATCCAGGGGGTGCAGATGGGTAGTGGGAGGAGTTGGATCTCAAGTTGGTACACCACTGTAATACCAGTGTACTTACATGGTAACTCCTCAGGAACTGTCCACTTAATATAAAGTGTAACATTCTGGACACGAACCACAATTTATATGTAAAGCCTAACTTACTGGCCCCTGCTGTGTAACATCAGAGTAATTACATGGTAAATCCATTTGGAACAAAGGAATTGTTTACTTGATATAAAGTGTAACACAAATGTGTGTGTTTGTGTATTTCAGGGCTTTGGGAGTCTGACTGAAGAACACTGGTTGGGAAATGAGCTGGTGTACAAATTGACCAATCAGAGGCAGTGCACTCTTAGACTGGAGCTGACGGACTGGGATGGCAAACTGGCCTTCTCCCAATATGACAAGTTTTACCTTGGTAGTGAGAAACAAAACTACAGGTAGAGAGTTGGGTAAATTTACTAAAATTTAAACTCATTGCTCTTTCAACCCAGCATTGTTTGATGACATATTTGTTGTAAAAACCTTTAAAACATTGCACTGCTTTTCTGTGCTGCTTGACTAAACTCTTCATACCCTCTGTTACCATACATACGGAGACATCAAAACAAACGCATTCAATTTGGCTTCAGTGCTATTATTCATTATCAAAATATGTTTGTTTCATGACACCCAGTTGTTTCACAGGAAGCAATTCAGCAAAATACTCAAAATGCACCTAGGTGTGTCAATAATGCAGATTATACAGTTAGTGATAGTTTTAGAGCAGGGGTGTCAAACTCAGTTCCTGGAGGGCCGCAGCCCTGCAGAGTTTAGTTCCTACCCTGCTTCAACACACAAACCATTTTATTTTTTAAATAAGTCTGAAGGACTTGATTAGCTGGATCAGGTGTGTTTAATTAGGGTTGAAGCTAAACTCTGCAGGGCTGTGGCCCTCCCGGAACTGAGTTTGACACCTGTGTTTTAGAGCATGCTATACTATAGTGCTTTCAGTATGCTCTTAACCCTCTGGGGTCGAAGGCCGCAGCGGTGCGGTCTGTCATGTTTTTCTTGATGACCACGAAAATAACTAAAAATAATCTGTCATTTTTGATCATACAGATAAGAATAAGGTATCGTTTGAAACTGTAAAGGGTCTACTTTTACTTGTGTATAGTCATAATAACGACAAAACAATGTGATTTTGTAAAATAAAGAAAACAAAACAGGGTGCGCTCTCTGCCATCTCAAGTCTCTGTAAGCGTTCTAAATAAAACAACCTGAATCTCAGTGAATACTTGCCTCACAGACATGATAAATATATGTATGGAAAGCTTGAAATGTCTACCTTTAAATGAAGTCACATCGAAAACTAATACTCTCTAAAAAAGTAATTCATATGAAACCAATGTGAGGTACAGTTTTTCCCGTCTGAGCTCATTATCTCTAATGTAATCATGCCCACGAGCAGCTCCGTTTTTGATATTACAGTCATCCACGTGAGACACGTGGACATGTAAATGCCCACATCACCTCCATAAACAAACGTGAAGATTCAAGTTCATCTCGGATACTGTTTGTTTTTGGAAGAAAATGCACTGGGAGAAATGAGACAGAATCTACCTTAGAAGAAGAACACGATGTGATGCACGGCTTGATCCCGTGGAGAATATCATTCTAATGAATAAGGCTACGTTTACACGACAACGGTGTAGTCAAAAACTTAAGTTTTTCCCTTGCATTTTTAAAAAGTTTCACGTATACACAACGACTTTTTCAAAAAGATTCGCGTTTACACATATCCGTGAAAACGGCCAAAAACGCTATATTACGTATGCCAGGCCAGTAGTTGACGCTGTCACCTTGTTAGTAAACAGTAACTGCAGGGAAGTGAAGATTATATGATGTATATGATGCGTCTCTGCTGTTGGTTGTAATATTGGTGAAGTAAATCCACACTTTGCTGAAGAAGCGTTAGCAAACTCTTGAGCAGCAACAACAGTACCATATACTCCGCCATTGTTGTGTATGTTTGTTCGCGCTTGCCTTTAAAATCAACACATACTGCACGTGTCTACATACCTAACACGTACTACTACGCATGCGCATGACGTCACCGTTTTCAAAGATTCCCGTTTTGTGTGTTTACACGGAAATGATAACGGTGCCGTTTTCAAAAACTTCCACTTTGAAACCCGTTTTCAAAAATATGCGTTTTCAGTCCCCAAAATGCCGTTGTCGTGTAAACGAACAGTCAAAACGCATAAAAAGTTTCCAGTTTTTGGCTGAAAACATTGTCGTGTAAACGGCCCCTAAGAACACTTGCATTAGTTATTATTGTGTTATTGTGACATAACTTGTACACATTTTACTAGTTAGACTTTTCCCAAACTATAATTCCTGACTACATGTATGAAATCAAGTGAAACATTTTGAAATATGTGTCATTTCATTGCATGTTTGACACAAAGGTGTGTGACTGTTCAAGTCTCAGTGTTTAGATCAGTATGTTCAACCATGTGTCCTTGACCTTCACTGTGTATATTTTGATTATACTGTGTTGTAAATAAAATACAAATAATCAAAACCCCCATTATTTTGCTCTCCTCACATTCTCCTCACATTCACACACAGACACAAACATATACATTCATGCTGCTCACATATTACTGTAGAATAGTTTGTGCTGATTAAGTATAATCTGATTTCAGACATTAATATGTTTTAAGATACTGAAAAAAAAACACAAATGTCAGGGCATGTCAAAACTTCTCCAGGGCCCCAAAACCCCCTCAGAGCCCAGAGGGTTAAACTGTGGGGTTATAAATTCTTCTTTGCCTCTTTTGTCTTTTACGCAATGCACAGTCGAAACAGTCAGAGACAACATAAACAAATGCGTACTGAGATGCATTTTTAAAAGTTGTAGCCCTTAAACAAAAGACATGCCCTTGAAAATGGTCTGTATCAGTCAGTTGTCTTTGTGTATTAATATTTTTCAGCAGCTCACGCCATGAGCACCAGTTGTTGAGTCTTCTTTTATGCCATTCAACTGACTGTGCTCCACTGAAGTATTTTAGTTTACCCCATAAATGATTTTTAACTTAACATGCATTCCTACAATGGTGCTATTTGTGGTAAAATGCTGAAAATAAGCAAGCTACATAAAAATGGTCAAACATGTCCATCCACTGCATGTTTGCAACAAATGGTAACACTTTATAATAAGGTTCAATTCATACATTATCTATCAACTAGCAATGAACCAATGTACAGCATTTAATAATGTAGTTTATTGTTAATTCATAAATATACTATTATACTATTTTTTGTTGTTAAATCATGAACTTGAATTATATTAGTAAAATTATAGTACAATTACAGAGTAGAAAATATAACATCAGCCAAGCATTAACCAAGCATTGCTTGTTCATAATGCCTGGTGCATGAACTAATGTTAATGAACTGAAACTTATTTGAACCTTAAGTGTTACAATATATATATATATATATATATATATATATATATAACAGGATGCAGTACTGCTTTCTTTTATACTCTCTTATTATCTACCTGTCTTTCTGTGTTAGGTTGTTCCTGAAAAGCTACAGTGGTACAGCTGGCAGACAGAGCAGTTTGGTGATAAATGGGGCTGACTTTAGCACAAAAGACATGGATAATGACAACTGTATCTGCAAGTGTGCACTCATGCTGACAGGCGGTAAGCAACTCGATAGTAGTGGAGCAGGGCAAAGTTAGTTTATCCTTTAATGTAACAAAACTTCATTCCCTTTGACTGTAAAAGTGCTGCTAGCATCTGGGAGTAAAGCAGATAATGATCAATAATGACCTTTTTCTGACCTATCTTTCTCTCTTAACACGACTCTCTTTATTCATTGTTCTTCTGAAGGCTGGTGGTTTGATGCCTGTGGCCCATCAAACCTCAACGGCATCTACTACACCTCTGGACAAAATTCAGGCAAACTTGATGGCATCAAGTGGCACTACTTCAAAGGCCCCAACTACTCTTTACATGCCACCACCATGATGATCCGCCCATTAGACTTTTGAGAAACTGATAATCTGTCATCAAATTGTCACACATTTTCCCACAATGAATGAACTTATACAGCATGCTGTGTGAAATTCAATGTCAAACTGCTATACTTATATGTTTCTTACCTTTTCCTCATGTTATACATTGTGTTCTTTAAATAGTCTGTTGTGTTGATGGAAGTCTCTACTGAGGGCTTGACTTACTGGTGTCATCAGCTTTCAGGAAATTCATGAACTGGTTTCTAAAGTCTATTTGGTTACACTTTATTTTTTTGATAGTCCTCTTTAGACATTGTACTAACTATAAGTAACTTTGCAACTACATGTCAACCAACTCTCATTAGAGTATTAGTAGACTGTTAGGTTAGTGTTACAGTTACTGTAGGTTTAGGGTTAGTACAATAAGTTGTCATGTACTTGCAAAGATGCTTAAAGTCAGTAGAATATCTGTTAGGGAACCATCAAAAAAAAAAAGTGTTAGTAGATTTGATCAGAACAAACACTTAAGCACAAGCACTATTTAAAAAAAAACTGTATAATATGCATGATACTTAATATGCATGTTAAATTTTTCGGTTTTGTGGTAAATATTGTTTGTAGAATAATTTCTGAGCTTGGATTGTGTTGCCTTGATGGCAGGTGTGTCATAAAAATGTGCTATTTTTTTCCTGTTTAAAAAAAGTAAATTTTAAATTTAGTTTACGGATATATGGAAAAATATGATTTATGAGCTGTAACCATATGTTTACAGTATGTTGTTATAATGTAGTTTGCTGCGTATTACATCTTACAATATTACAACTGTATGCAGTAAAAGTTGCTGATAACAGTCTGATGTATAATCTGTATCCTCCAGGTGATGACAAGGCGTGTAGAAACATTGCAAGTATTATTTGAATAAAATGTTGACAAACATGTTTCTTTTTTCTCCCCCAGAGACTTTTTGTAAAACGCACAATAAGACTTTGGCATGCACCAAAAAAAAAAAAAAAGCTAAATACATAAATTCCCCAGTCTTTTTAAGTTTTGGTTTCTGTTTCAATGATACTGCTGCTTGTGCTAAAAACAAAACAAAAAAATCAATCATGAAGTCAGGTGAGGCCCATGATCAATGTCACTGTCATGCTCGGTTGCAGGAAGGAACATGAGAGCTTGATTTAATGGTGTCATCAGCTTTCAGGAAATTCATGAACTGGTTTCTAAAGGATATTAGGTTACACTTTAATTTGATAGTCCACTTTAGACATTCTACTAAATATAAGTAAC